GACAGTACTCCGCTGTACTAAGGCTGGGTACATCGGAGTTTCCGGGGTTTTCTTCCTCACTCCACTACTCAGCTGATGAAATAACTGTGATATTTGTTACAGCGTTGTTCAATAAGCCACATCTTACTCCTCCCCGTCCGGATATGGTACCACGTAAATTATCAAATAATATTCACTGTGTGGGTGACATTTTGGGCCCAGAATTTGTTCTTCAGTCTCAACGAACTCCATGCACCAGGGCCCTCCTTGAGAAGCTGATACTTGCTCAGCTAGTCAGTAAATTGCAAAATTTACACAAACTGGTCAGATGAACTCAGCCTACGGCGTCAGATCGTATGTACTTAAGATCCATTTTAATATTACCCTCCCATTTGCACGTGGATCCTGAGGGGTCTTTTACCTTCAGGGGTTTCGACCACGTTTGACCCAGGACGGGGACCGGTGGCGGGCTCATGTGCGCACGTGATGAACCTTGGGGTTCCGTGAAAGGCAGATAATTTCTTGATCGGCTGGGCGACTACTAGCTTCTCCAGGGAGGCTGCTGTGCTCCATGGTCTTATTATCTGAGTGATCGGGGTTTGTTCTGGCGTTTTACGACGTCCTGCGACTCTGTGCCATCTGCGGCCGCTTTCATTCCATTTCCAGAAAGAACCTTCCAGGCCAAGTATTCCGGCTCCGGTAGTTGAGAGAAGTCTTAGCACTGAAATGCTGGAACGAGAGGGCAGTCTCTCCGGACCCGTTCGTAATTACACCGGAGTTCATGTGAGTGGACGGACAAGCCATGAAAGACTCTCTTCTTGTCCCAGAAATTCTGAATTAAGTTCAGGAGGAAGTTCTCACGGCCGTGAAGGCGTCCATGTTTTTTTTCTGGCTTCTGACGTGGTGAGGAGGCGGGACAGAAATTTTATCCTAAACATCCAGATCCACCTACACATCTACGTGACGTAACAGTGGAGGAGGGCAACGTCGTTGTCAAATTTTCAATTCATATTACTCACACAATGTAAACATTTCTCACTAATTAGTTTAGCGTTTAATGTTAATCCTCAACCCACGCCACGCAAACCTCTTGAAAGCGAAATGTATCGCTGGAACTGAATGATCCAATTAGAGGCTTCCATAAATGCCTCCGCTCTGCAGTGAATAAGAACTTCTGATCACGCAAATCTAGAGCCATGAATTCGACGTGTTCTAACACACAAACCTTACGGCACCTTAAATTAATTCACTCATAATTCCTAATCGCAACACGAATTTTAATCACAGTAAACTGTGTTCAACTTAACACTTTTCCAATTAAATCTCAGTTACCTGGAACATGGAAGCCGTTCCATTGTTCTGTCGTCCAGAAACAAAACACTGCTGTTACATTGTTTAAACTGATAGCCGACGCGTATACACACGTAGCCAGCGAATGACGAAGCCTCTGAATAGATCTGTTATATAACTGAGACACTCCAGATGTCTCTAGTTGTAATGTCGCCAGTTTTAGTGTAATTCATGTGTCTTTGTCATGGAAGTACACAGCGTGGTGCTGAATTACACATACGCCGTCAAATACAAATATTTAATGGACGCGTCATGGAAACGGAGTCTTTCTAGAGAAGTTGGTAGTCGCTCACCAAGACAGTAACGTGTCTGTTTTATTTAAACAAAAGGGTTCACTAATGTGTTCACAGGAGCCCGCTTATGCTGATACAGACGAATTCAATCCACGTTATTTTAATATCACATTTTCGAACCTGTATTTCTCCTAAAACCTCTTTTCTCTTCAGGTATTCGGACTAAAATTGTGTATCCATGTACGCGTTCGTCATCTCCCCCACGCATTGTACACGATCCATCCACGTTATCACTCATAGTATTTAGTTGAGTACAAATTATGAAGCTCCTCGTTCTGTAATTTTCTCTAGCATCCCATCACTTCATCCCCTTTAGGTTCGAATATTCCCCTCGACACCCCCCCTTTCTCAGATACCCTCATTAACTTTTCTGTCGTTAAAGTGAAGCCACGTTTTACTCTCATACAAATAACCAGCTAAAATTTTCAGTTTGTATGTCTAAATTTTTACGCACTTTACATGTGAGACGAGAAGGTAAGAATTAAAAAAAATTGTAGCATGCATTGGCCGAATTTAATCTGCTCCTAACTTATTCGCGAATGCAATTTTGATTTTTCACTGTCGTGCAATTTCGACAATTCATGTACACGTACTTGGTTTCCTCGGCGTTTAGGCACTTCAGACCAACCTAACCTTACCAGCGCCTGGCTGAGGCCGAATGTATAAAAGGGTCGCAGTGCTTTTTAACAAGTACGTTCTGTCTCCCACGCGTTGAATTCCTTGTACTTCTGTGTCTGGCTCTGTCCTCCGAGTGAATTCTGAACAAACATTCTTGCATTTCCCGGCGAATCTCATCAGCGTGGAGGTTTCGTGTTTTCTGCGAGTGCAGTAAATATTTGGTCCTTCGCTCTTGGTGAAGAACGCAGATGGATTTCAGTCTGGAGGTCCTGTGGTCATGTGACGTCGGTCTTCCGTTTTTCGGTCGTTTCTCTGCCTTCGCGTTTCTAATCCTCGTCGTCGCTACGGAGGGCCTCGGCGGAAATAGAAATCGACAAGAATGAGAGGAAATAATGGTCTGTAACAACGCGGACGAGAGGAGGTTACAGGATCAATACCAACAGAATTTCTCCCTGTGCCAATATGAAGAGCAAACAGCATCACAACCTATTTAGTAAATTCGTTCTGGCGTAGACAACCCCCTCCCCTCCCCTCACTATCCTTCCCACCTGCTCTTTTTTCGTTCCGGGGTGGTGCAGGAGGGGGTCTTTTATCCGGGCTCCGGGTTCGTTATATCGGTTACTTTTGCACGTAAGGCAGAAAGAAAGCAGTGGGTGGGGAATCCCTCTCTGAGTTTTCGATTCTGCTGTCTAAATTATTCAAACGCTGCGAAATCAGGCTTCTTTGCTGAATATTCAAGTTTTGAATGTCGGAGATCACTGGACTTCAAGAGGAAACGGAAAGAGGCAAAGCGATGAATTTCAGAAGACGAGGTTCCTCCTCAGAAGTTTGCTTCGCTACACAGACGTGTGACGACATTCAACCCGACGACCCTAACTGCCATAAAGCCGAGTGTGTGACAGCCTCCTTAAAAGTCGCTAGCCACTCCCCTTCCACTACCATCATCATCATCATCTTAGGATCTTAGTTAGCACAGTTGATAGAGTGCAGTTAAATTAAACGACGACCGCTGTCTTGTAACGTAACATAACGTATGGCTCTCTGTAGCATCACGGATAATTTTATTTGGATGTGACGGGCCTGCTCGAAACCCTTTCGCCCGCTTGTTCTCGTCTCTGTTCTGGTTGATAGGTTAGGCAGCCATAACCGAGTTGTTAGTGCAAAAGTGATTTATGGAATTAGGATGCCTGTCAGGATCCCATTGCGAAGTCGGTAGATATTGATCCTCCGATTATGGCCGCTGACCTTGTAGGCAGTGCCCAGTAAGCGGACCACTCAATGAAGGAAGGAAGGAAGGAAGGAAGGAGTTTCCGTCGGTCAGTACAGTCTGTGTCAGTGCAGCAGTCTGGAAGCCTGATAATTATCAATTATAATTGTTGTCTTGTGACTGTTCTGTGTTAACAACATGCCACCTGTTCGTTGCAATCTCCTTTCTGGTCATTTATAACGCCTCGAATCACAACACCCAGACAGACAAACCACCGACGTCTTAATCAAAGAAAGACGGAGTGAAAGCCTGGCTATTGGAAATCTTCGTCGTATTTTAACACTTACGGTGACCTTTCGTCACGCCTCTATAAAAGGGTCACGCCTAGTCACGCTTTGTACCTATCCCTTCCAGCAAACTTGTGGTAAGAGACTCGCTCCGAGGTTCCAATTCACAAAGTTCAGAGGCCAAGAGCGCTGGATCGCAGTATACACGCCCTACCTGAACGAATTCAGCAGAACGACTTTCTTTGCAAGTTGCGTTGGTTCGCAAACAGCGGGCGGGCGGCTTCAGATGCAGTCGCGATTTAATTCGGCGGAAGGAACACGACATCAATTACGTGTTTCGTGTTTTAGCGTTCAGGTTGCGGTCTCATAAATTCAGAATCCGTTCGAAGGATTGTAAAATTACGTGCTGGACTTAGTTCGTCGTGGTCTTTGCAGCCGTAGGAAGGCAAGTTTCTTAGACGTGACAGGTGAACTGACACTTACGCACCCTGCTGATATTATCAGCCATAGGTTTCGCCGTGCTCTTATTTCGCTCGTGCCACTAGTTCGACGCCTAAGACGCGAAAACAGCTCAGCGCCCGTCATCCATATTGCCGCCCTCGCTCCTAGGGATCGCATATTTTTAATAATTCAGCCGATCTGTTTCTGGCATCGAGTAGATTGAACTTATTTGTGGCTCTGCGAGACGTTCCAGAGGATTTATAGAGGAAGACGAATTGAATGTACCAGAAGTCGCAAGGATTAAGCCGAATCAAGAGTACGTGTTGGGATTGTCAAGCGAGCGAACGAGGGAGGGAAATTCTCTGCTGCCCCGTAACAAGGCAACGCGCTGCAGGGCCTGCCTTACAGCTTTTCCCTTCGTTCATTTAATTAACCCTTTAACTTTATGTCCCACTTGCTTTGACAATTAATGACCCTGCGTTTCAGTGTAAACAGAGATTATTTCGTCAATCAGCTGAGCTTCGTAATCGTGAAGTGTGGTTTCTTTGCGGTACGGGCTGTATTTTTATATATCAGTCAGACAAGTTTTGGGCTCCGGTTGCAGATGACACGGAGCTTTAAGAATCTGTACTGACGTCACTCACGGAGATTAAGCACCGCCACAGTGAGGCAAAACTCCACGTATTCTTAACCTCGGCATTAGATGGATGTGAATGATTTGGTCATTTTCCCCCAGGTATGTGTGTGGGCCACCCAGTTGGAGCGGAGGACACGCCTGCTCGTGCTTTGAATCATCATCATCTAGTAGTCGGTGAGTCAGGCCGCGTGATGGCCCGTTCTCGAAGCATTCGTCCTCTGTTCCTTAACCCATGCGGCCTGTAAGATAATTGTTTAACTGTTTGCCAAGTCAGCCGCCCCCGTAACTGCGATTAAAATTCCAAGTCCACTTCCTCTTACGCCGTGTTTCAGCGCCCTCTACACCATTTTCCTTTTTTCTTAGCTCTCAGTTTGTTTTCGTTTCTCTTACAGCCGGAATGCACTTCGCGTTTATTCCTGCGAACTTCCTTAAGCGACTGTAACTCTTGCATGTATTTTGCTTTCGTAATCGACTTACCACGACCCACGCACTCATAAAGGCATTATCAGTTGTTGTTCTTCTGTGTTTCTGGGCATTTTTGATTGTCAGAGAACTGTGTTGGTTAGGCCTGAAATGTTTGAAAAATTGGATACTTCAGCTATTATAAATTTTTCTCCTTCGTATGTCATTTAGCATCCGAGAAAATTCGAATCGTCAAGACCTCGCTCGGCCTGTCATCAGTGGCGTGTCACTTCGGCGCAGGATGTAATAAAACTGCGTTGCAACCACAAATGTCGTGGTGCACATATCACACGTTCTGTTGCTTGCTTAAAATTCGTTTCCAAAACACATTTTCTAAAACAAAGCGCGATGCTTTCGTGTGTTGTTTTCTTCCTACAAAGAAGCCACGTGACACCGAACTGATATCGAAGTTGACCCCATCCCGGATAATGGCTGTCATGGCGACACCTTAAAATATGGCAGCTGAAGGCGAGGCTTCAGGCACACGACGTCATACCTTCTGACGCAAAGCTGAAACTCGAAGAGATTAATTATACGGTACGACGTATGTGACAGTGTGGCCAACTGAGGAAATAAGAAAAGAAAAACTAAGACACTGGGGAAATCCATTTGTCTTTAATGCACCACGGATAGAAACCTTCATACGTCGCGTGGTGCTGTGAGGCATCTCCCCCTGGGACATACCGGCCGGAGCTTTATTGTAAGGACAGACTTAAACTCAGCAACGAGTAATAGAAAAGGCGGAACTACGTCTCGAAGTTCACGGCGTGCCGCTTATCTACGGGGCTGCTTCGTTCCTGGAAGCAGGAAGTGACCTCATTGTGGCCGCCCTTCAGGTGCAACAAGGGCGCCATCGTCACACTCGACAGCCATTCTGGTTCCGCGCGTAAAATATCGGAGCTTTTAGGTGTGTTGTTGAAGCCGTGTCCATTAGCAAATTAATTTAATTATTCGCTGTAAAACAGTCAACTCTGCTTCTGCACAAGGGCCAGGGCTTTCTACAAGAACGAACAACGTTCGCTGATTTGTCTTTGCTGTTATTGCAGTTACGTTGGGAAGCAAAGGGCCGGGTGTCGCTTAGTCGGACGATGGGGTAGACAGGACACGCAGCATGCGTGAAATGCGTACTAAGTTATATTTTGAAATCCTGAAGAGAAGCGAGAATTCGGAAGATAATGAAACTTCGGGTTTCATAAGCTGAAGCGAGCAAGACACGTGATAATACATTGTTGCGTTCAATAGAGACGTGTTCACGTTGAGCGATACTGAGACGCAAATATTTGTCCACTTCGCCTGAAGCAAGTTTCCTCCCTTTCATCGTGTATGTATGTAGTTACCTCTGAACACACAAAAGAACGAGAGGATTGCAGACAGCTGCTCTCACACAATACAGCGAATCAGTGCAGCCCCCACCCCCACCCTCGGCTCGACACACTTCGCACTGACACGCGATAGGCTCGCTCTTCGGTATTTCAAACGGGGCCTGAATACGCGGCCCTCAGCTGGAAGCGCTGTCTCAGGACGTAACACGAGTCCTTAAAGGCAGTGCCCGTTCCACTTATTGGGAACTTGTAGTCGCTAAGCTGGCCAAGAAATTTATAGCGATTTATTGGAATTGGAACGCGTCTTACCGTGAACACCGGACACTATTGTGAGCCAGATTAGTCCGTCACACTCATCCGTACTGTGTTTTAAAGTAACCTTTTTAACACTTTGAAGACGAAACTGATCTAAATAATGTTTCAAAACTCAGGCCGTACCTAAAAGAAAACGCGACATGTTTCTATGAAAACGATAAATTCCTTTATTCTGCTTAGGGAAATAATCCGTATTTATTTTGAGAAACATACGAAACGCGGAAATGCTTTATTTGGTCAAAGAACATAATTGCTTATTCTTAAAGCAATGGGCTTTCAAGTTTCAACGTCCTCATTTCACTCGGTCGCTTTACGTCCAAAAATTGGTCCCACTTGCAGCCCGGTATTTCCGTAATTAAATCGGGGACAGCCGCATTGAGTCACGTGTCTCATTACCATCGAAGTTTCGAACCCTGTGAATTAAGCAAACTCGGGGGAGAAGGAAATGAAGCCAAGAAGGATCGGTGTAATGCATCGTCCCCAGGGTCTGCTGATTTCGAACGTGTTATACAAAGAGAGGATTTCCATATTTATGAAACTTTGCAGACGCATTGCCGTGGGGAGACAGCAGATAACGACCTTGCATTGATTGTGCGAGATTTTTATACAAAGTTTAGCCGATGTTATGCATCGTGATTTATCCGTTACACAAAACTTACGTTCTTGAACTTGGATCGATACGGCAGATGTCTCTTCCGTCGCCTGTCGTTCCTTTGGAACTTCAGCTTGTCCTCCGATTCACAACATGACCGTAGTTATCTGTGGTGAAAATTGTTTGAAAATGTTCCATCAGCTTTACTGTTCCGTCAAGTAGGAAACTGTTATTTAATTATGAATTATAATCGATAAAATTACTATTGCTGTTAGGGTGCCCTGATGATGGAGGCAGTAAGCACTTCTGAAACGTCGGACAATTTATACGAGAGTCAAAGGTGCAACATTCCAGAAGACAGTCATCTCAAACACTAACCGAATTGAGAATTTAAAATCTAACTACGTTTCCTGTCTTCAACGCCTTGCTCGTGAGGCAACTTCTCCGACAGCGGTGTACCGCGTGTGGTCTGACCACAATCTTGCAGGGGATTGTGCAGTTATAATAACGAGTTAATTACTGTAGTCTGGTAGAAAATTACCGACGTTTCAGAGGACCTTGCTGCCTCCATCATAAGGGCGATGATGTGCTTGCCTGTGTCCTTCAGTTACTGTGCGTGTCTGCCCATAGCCAACAATTGTGTTTAATTAAACACGGATTCTTATTACATTTGGTATAAATATTATACCACTAGAGGTCACCCTTGTTAGTGCGTTTTAATTAAGTTGCCTAATATGATAATAATACCTACATGACGGTCGTGCGAATCTATGAGGTGGGAGCTTTACTGTCGAAGGTCCGAAGTTATGCGTCGCCGTAGTAGGCAGATTCTTTATGGCAAGAGTTTGGACAGCAACGAAATCTGTATTTGTTATTTAACGTTTGACGTCTGTTGCCAAGTGACCATAAACTGTTTTGCAGTGCAGAAGCGACGTATGTCCATCTCTGTTCTGCCCGGAACCTGTTACGTGCGTCAGGCGACATCGCAGTAATTACCCGGAAACATTTGTCATCGGAAAAACGTGTTTATGGGACTGTCGCGACGAATGAA